CTGTCGGAATTGAAGAGGTGGTTTGAGCATAGTACTCGGTTGTTGGTTTCTTTGTCTCAGACTAGGTCAAAAAAGGTCGATGAAAGTGCTGTGCTCTTATGAATGAGGCTATAAACTAAAAGCAGTAAACAAATTTTAGTGGAACTACCACTTGTCCTCCTTCAAATTTTTATTTATCAGTGGCTACTCTGACATTCATTCTCAATTTTATTACCTTCAATGCAGCCTCCCTACTATGAACAATCTGCTTGTTCAAAGCGCAAACCAATCTCTTGATGTGCAGAAGCGCATGATCAAAGAGTGAGTCCCTGCTGTGCAAAAAGATCGTTTCTTTCCTTTTTTTGAGTAAATTTAAGATCTTTAACGTTTATATTATTTTTTTGAAGAAAAATTGACTGATTTGTAGACAAGATAAACTTTGACCGAGGGATTAAGCAAGAGACAGTAGTACTGCTTGTGGCAGCCTAAGAGAGTTAGGTGGAAAGGTTCTGGTGACACGCCACCACTTCATCTTTGCTCCCCACCTTAGTCCACTCCACTTCTATCACCCCATTCCATTAGTTGTCATGGTGCTGCTTGTGTCTATGATAACTCCATCACAAAGATGCTTTCTAGCGTCCACTTCTTTTGCCTCGTTAAGTTACTCAGTTATTTTGGGGTTTTATCGGTTCTTCTAATTGTCATTTCTCGTCAAAAACAAAGACTGACCGACTGAAATGGTTTTATTTGTTTTAAATTCTATATGCCTTCAATGAGGCGTTCGAGATGCATCGGGTGTAAGGACATGGACTCGGGAGGTGCTCGAAGACCACCAGATGACCCATATGCCACTTTGGCTCGTATCACACAGTCAATCAAGATAGCAGACATCAGTAGTAGTGCGTGGATTCATAAGACACTCTATGATGCATAAATTGTGCGCGAATGAACTGGATGACATCGACTGTGTGATTTTGAGAAAAATCTAAGTGACTCAGATGTTTAAATCCGACTCTGCAATTAGCAGGGACGATTTTGATTCCATTAGCCACATTATCCACATCGTAAATATCTTTGCCCTCATAAATAGCAAATAAAACTATTCAAAGAGGTATAAAATCTCACTTTCAAAAAGTTCAGCACCACTTACACCTCTTTTTCAATAAAGTAGCTTGCCAATAGCAAAATGTCACTGATTATTCACTTTAAACGTCTATTTCATTCCACCTAACAGACATCCTTTGTATCCCCTTCTTGCGGTGCTTTTTCGACAATGCGAGGCTGGAACTGTTCGACCTTGTTCTCCACCTGCTCTGGATCTATTTAACGAGGAATTGCGTGTATTTATTGATCGCACTACTGCGTCATTGATAACTAGCCAATCACAGCAGAGGTCACAATCACCGCACCCATCACCTACTGCCTTCCCCCTTACCCATCTTCCGGCACCTTCTTCCGAGACTGTTGACGAGTCCAAAGACAGGAACGAAGAAAGCAACGGTGATGTTCCCCTAAACGTATTTATGGCCGATCCAGAACTCAATGAACTAGTAAGTGTTTCCCTTACTGACCATGAAACTTGAAATACATTTGTAAAATAAAATAATAAATTGCGTGCGCCTTGCTCGCCCTCTCTTTTTTAGATATTTTTGGCTGTGAAAGTACTTCGAATACATCTACAAGAATTGCACAAAGTAAATGAACTCTCAAAAGACTTTTGTTCGCGTTACATCACCAGTTTGAAGACAAAATTTCAGTCGGATCTCCTACGGTTTCAAGGTGAACTAGTGGTGATAATACAATTTCATACCCAAATCAGTTTACTTTTTTATTTTTTTTAAGCGAAGTTTCATCACTTTGTTACAATTTTGTTTAACTGAATCCAAAGTTTCTGCCAAATACTCCAAATTGGAGGAGCAGCATGTTCTTAAGCGTCGATGTGAATACATGTCCTTTTGGAGTAATTTATGGCTCCCTTGGTTCACCTCTTTAAGCAAAGCTAATTAAGTGGGTCCACAGAAGCAGTACTCAATAGTCATTTCTATCCTTAGTTAAAAATTCTGTCCCTGCATGACACACTCACACACACTGCATCTGCAGACCTGCCATCAAACGAAGCACGCGATATGCCTGCCTGCCTGCCAACGAGGAATTTTTAGAATACACGCGATTGACAAAAGCGTGTCTCCAGCCTATGCCGACCTTTCATCTCTCTCAACTCACCTCTCATTCACTTAATCAAGAATTCATCCATCGCCATTTTACTAGTAGCCCTCATTCCTCCCACCCTCCCACCACCTCTCATCCCCTTCCAAATCCACCTCCACCTCCTTCAATATTCTGATTCGTTACATTAAAATTTTGGGTTCTCGTAGCAAAATTTTATTATCCGAGGGAGACTTGCGTGTTCCGCCTTGTTTTGCCATGCCTTGGGCTCTTCGAAAACTTAAAGTAGTTTACGGGAGCATTAAGTCGCTTTTATGCGTTAATTTTAAGGCAATGTAAAACAGACAGTGGGTGAATGGGAGAGTCAAAACGTTGGACTATTAAGGTAGGAGTGTAACCTGCGTTTAGGCTCCTACATTTTTTGAGGAGGAGGAATGTGACAGTAATCGTCCGATCTCTTACTTTGTTACTTCTTACGAAGAAGTTGTATAAGCATGGTACTTGTGTCGGGTTAAATTTTTAGAAATTCAAAGTGCCTACCTGTCATTTAGTTATTAAATGACACGAGATTTAAAACCCTCACTTCTGGCATTTGCAAATATCAGAATTTTGTGGCATCTAAAAATGACCTCAGCCAAGCTTGACAGCGTGTGACACTTTGAATGCTCTGGAGGAGGCGCAGATAGGGGCTCACACCCCTGGAATGACTGGACCCACCTTTAGTAAACAGTCGCCAGAGTGTTCCTCTAAGAACAGATTTGACATAAGAAAAAAATGACAGAAAAACGCTTAAGAAGAAAGAATTAAAAAAGAAGCCAGAAGCCACTTGGAAGATTTCAACGGTGAAATCTATCCCTTTGATAAAATACAGTGTTGTAAAATACTTTGTTTAGTCTGGCCAATCAGAATGCAGGAAGATGCTTAGAGCTGCTCCTTTTTTATTGGCTAGTAGTAGGTTTTTTAAGGAGGCTTCACGAAACTTTTTATCTCTTTTTTATGTAATTGATGTGAAATTTATGAAGTATGTGTGTGTTTGAGGGGTCAGATGTACTGCCATAGGCTACTTTCACTGATAGTACCGCAGATTCTTTCAATTCCAGCAGATGACGTCATTCAACAATCATAACAACTTCCCAGTGTGTGTGTGTCGATCAAATCAAGTGACAATAGTTAAGGTGCCGTGTGCAAGCGTTGCATTTTCAACTCGTGACTCCCCGTTCCATGTTTAAAATGTTTACGTGCACACATGCACACACGCGGATTATGGCGCTGTTGAGTGGATGCTCGTCCGTCTGTTCAATACTTGT